GTTTCGACGCCGTTTAGCTGGTTCCTTTAAGGAAACGCGAGATCAGGTTTACGTACGCGCGTTTCCCGAATAGACTCCGCGACTCTGCTGCACGCGGAGATACGATATCGGATTCCCGAACGTTTTAATCACCGTTTTTCTTTTGCCTGCCGTCTCCCCTCGTTCGCCTGCTACGCCGAGAGTTCTCTCGCGGAAAGGAGTTATCACCGAAGGAAGCTACGGGCAACCGACGCTTGGCGTAGACCCGGAAAGGGGCTGGAGGCGCCCAGCGGGGGTTAAAACGACCCCCGCAGCCGGGGCTGAAGTCTGAAAGATAAGGTGCCCCTCTTCTCTTCTCTCGGCCTCCTAGATTATGGAATGGCACTTTAATTACACTAATGGGAGAACCAAATGTTAATTACAATTCGAAGTCTAAAAGAGAGACGATTCGCGGGACCGAAGGAGAGGAGGAGCGTGGCGAGAGTGGAGCCAAGCGAGGTGAGAGGAAGACGGAAGAAGCTCGCGCGGGGAGCGACGGTCCAGGGAAAGAAGATGAGATTCGCCTGCACACGGGAGGGTCGGCCTTCTGTGATTAGTATTATTTAATTAAAAATGCCCGGTCCCTCTTTCCCCTTATCATCGTGTCCCGTCGCGCGGCCCGATTCGGAAAATCGCGCGGGACTTAGTCGATTATCTCGCGTTATTACATCGGTACTCGTCGTGTCGCCGACCCGGCGAATTATATAACGCAAGGTGTCGCTTGAACACCCTTGTGACGGCGCGAGCCTCGTATTTCGCTCGTCGTAACGACATAATAGCTTCCGCGAGCTGAGTGTGCATAAACAAGCCGTAACGGTTTTATGGAAATCTTGCGTCAGTCGATGGAACGTCATCGAGCATCATAGTTATCTGCACCTCTCACTTTCTCTTTTCCTCTCACTTTTTTAGTCACGTCTTTTCGTAAACGTTTTGTCTTCTTCGCCGTAATCTCTGCCGATTTTCTGCACAACCGACATTATATACTTTTCACTTATTACGTTTATTATATAAGTTTATTATTTAATATGTTTCTTATTGTAAGCATTTTTTTTTACATTTTCGTTGTCAGCACCTAAATTATGTATTCCGAATTGTTTTAGTTAATTTGTTCAAATGATACTTTATCTTTTTCTTTCTTCTTTTATTTTATATTCTTTTATCTTTTAATCTAACAAGTGTAAACAAGTGTATTTATTATTTTATCTTTATTTTATATCCAGAGAGAGTTTCTATTCTCCCGTTTATTTAATAATAATAATAATAATAATAAAATTTCACAGGTAAGGCAATTAGTTACAATGCTGATTACTCCGTTTATTGGATTTTTCGAATATTACTCGTTTCTATTGCTTGCAATTTCTTATAATTTTTGTCTTTTGGGAAATTATTATTATTATTATTATACATTATTATTATATAGTTATTATTATTATTTACACTAAAATATATATTTACACACACCCATACACTCTCTCTCTCTCTCTCTCTCTCTCTCTCTCTCTCTCTCTCTCTCTCTCTCTCNCTCTCTCTCTCTCTCTCTCTCTCTCTCTCTCTCTCTCTCTCTCGTTCGAGTCTTCCGAATTCTTCCACAGTTGGTAAATATCGCCCCGTGTGCGCGCTAGCGACGTTAGCTTGGCGACATTCTGCGAGACGACGACGACGGTGATGGCGACGACTATCGACGGCGGGAAAGTGACGCGCGTCGGGCGAGTTTCAATTTAAAGTTGGACGAACGTGTCGGGATTTCAATGTACAAAATGCGTATGCTAAACTCTTCGCACCCCTCGTGGCGCGCTCCCGCTCCTCTCCGTCCGTCTTCTCGGGGGCTGAGAGCTCCGACAGCACCGGGGCCCTTGACGGGCGCCGGTGGACAAGGTCCAGGCTGACGTTGCGACGGCAAAAATCAGCAAGTCTGATCAGTGGCGCCAAGTAGAAAGGGGCGCAAGTAGAACGCCGCTTGTTGTAGCAAGCCCGCACGCGGGACGAATGTCCCGCGAGCACTTTGAAGTTCGCGCCCCAAAGGACAAATTACTTTTTCGAGGCGGTCGGCCGGCCTTGAAACCCTTACAGAGCGCCCTTAGGTGCCTTTAATGATCGTGGCTGCCGATCGAAGGTAATGCATATCAATGGCCGGGGCGCCGAGACAAACGTCCGATACGCCGATAGTTCCTAATGACTTTCTGAATTTTACTTTTTAAAATGTCTTTCTCCGCGTCGCGGCGCTCGCCTTTTGAGCGCGCTCCACGATATTATTACCATGATTCAAAGGTTCAATATAAAACTTTACTACGTCGAGCCGGAACCATAGCTGCGTCTCAGTACCGCTGACAAAGGCCTGCCGTTCTTTCGTCGGCGTGCATCTCGTTGGGTCGATCCTCTGTGATGATGTCGCGATTAGAATCAATTTCCAAATTATATTAGCACGCGGCTTTCGGTCTCCCCACTGTGTCATAAGAATTATGTAATAATTAATCGTTATTTGTCCTTATAAATTAATACACTTTGTCGCTGTTAATCGGTGATTCGGTCTCGCGAATGTCTATCGAATGTAAGGAAAGAGAAAGATGTTAAAAAAAAATCAAGAGACTCTCACACATTATGTTGGCGAACTTTGGATTCTTCCATTTTTACGCTTGTCTATTTATAACTCAATACCATTTCCACTGAACGTGAGGAACACACTCATAAATCTATATTCATAGAACACACACGACGCGACGTTTGCGTATCGGGTCTGCCTTTGAATGGATCGAAGAAGATGCTTCGATAGCAGGTCTCCGTCTTAGATCGGCGAGAAGTTTCGCCTCAAGAGCTGGATTACCGCGTGGCTACGGGTGGATTTGAAAATTGTGGGACCCCCAGGGCTCCCGGGATGGGCGGTGTGGCGGGGTTGGAGCGTGATTGATTTTGCATACGACACAGATTGGACAGGTTTGAGAAATTGGACTGGCTTTCTGCCTGGTTTGGCCTTTCTCTATTTCTCTCTCTCTCCCTCTCTTCCCGTCGCTCTCGTCTTTTCCCTCCCGTTTATTCTCCCCCTTTCCTCCTCCTTCGTCTTTTCCTTCTTCTTTCGCGTGAGTGCGATACGCTCGGACCCCGTTCTCCCATGTACGTCGCGCGCGTGCATGCACGTTGCCTCGCATATACTCGCCGTATCGCCGCGCGTATTTCTGTGCGAGTCGAAGGGTTCCCTCTCTCGTATCTCTCGTAGGAGACGTCGAAGGGGATTGGCCTCGAACGAGCGATTTGTGCGATCTCCGAGGATGTATTTATGAGCGTTCGACTTTTGCCCCCCGGCCTGAACTTTCATATTGCACTCGACGTTTTAGTCGGGCGGCCTCGCACGTCGTGAGTTACCGCGCGTGCCGTGTAAAACGTGCGATATTTCTGTCACACGGACTATTTTTCAGTCATATGTTACAAACGGTCCCTCCGTACTCCTTTTGATATTAACAACACGAACATCAACCTCACAAACAGTCACAAACTTTTTATATTTTCGTTGAGGAGTTGCGTCTTTCAATTAGATTTATCAAGTCACGCGTGAAGGATCAAGAAGAGGGACAGGCGAATTCCAACGTGTCTCCTACGAATCTTTCTTGAAAATCAATGAAGTAATGTAATAATTAAATAAATTAAAATTAAATTAATCCATAATCGGTGTTTCACAGGGGATAATTAACGTTAATAAGCTTGCCTCTTGCGTATTCTAATTTCCAACATTTGACTGTATATCAAAGGGCCTAACACAACATAGTCTTTCCGTCGAGTTATTTGCCGTGCGACAGATTCCAGATAAGCCAGCGTGCACGTTAATGACATTTCGAGTTTCGCGGAGGACGGAAAACGCGCATCTCTCCGAGCGGTGTACAACGTGTGATCATGCGGGCACACGGAGGAGGCCGCGGAGGGATTGTTGAGCCATCCGGGGGTCGCTCTCTCGTCTGCCGTTATCCGCCGACGTCGGAGTGGATAACAGGTCGAACGATTTATTCTAAACCTTTATCCGGGGGCGCCCTCCAAATTTATGAAAGAAGACGCCCGTTTAACCGACTCGCTCAGTCATCCCTCACCGCGGTGGTGAAGCCACCCTTCCTTGCCTGTCTTCCGCGCCTTTCTCCGTTCCTCTCGCGAGGCTCTCCTTCTCTCGGCTTCTCCCTCGGCTTGGCTTGGCTCGGCTCTCCCGCCGTGCTCGCATGTCAGCCCTTTATTTTATACCGAAGCGAGTCGGTCCGATTTGGTCCTAATATTAAAGGGGATGGCTCGCCCTTAGCGCGTGATCGGGATGCCAAATCTCTCCGAGATCCGGTCGCGATTCCAGTTCTTATCGACGAGCGGAACGAGCTCCAGCGCTAGTTTTAGCTCGCGAAAACGCGCACTGCCTCGTCTCGATGATTACAATTATGTGCACCGATTCGAGACAATTTTTTCTTTATTAATTATATAACGAAGTGAAGCTCCCCTCTAGGAACGTAATATTATTTCGCGCGACAATCGTGGTTGAAATAATAAAAAGGAAAATCCACCGCCTGCGTGAGTTGATATCGAACGCATAATTTTGATATCATATTGAGTTTAACATTAGCGTTAAATCGATGTATATTCTCTCTCGAGTGTCGCGTTTTATCGATCTCGCAACGTGGCGCTCCAATTTAAGGGAGGTACTCCCTTGTAGCAGATCAAAATCATTGATTCGAACATTGTCGTCCGCTACTTACGGACGAGTCACTCACCGTACTTTTGCGTCCTGCAGTCCGAAACAGCGCACGGTAACGCGGCTCGATTTAGTCACGACACATCTGTCTTTCCACATTACGGAACTCTTTCTTAATATAGTACAAGCAATTAAAGAAATGCCTCGCTTATAAATTAGGATTGACGTCGGAGGAATAATTTCGCGTAATTCATTTCCTTTTGCAGTTTTATCTGAGCAAAACACGGCAGGCTGCCTTCTCGACCGATTTGCAGCAGTCTCTCTCACGAACAGTCAGTCCAACCGCACGCCAGCAAGGTGAGTTTTTACTTTACTATTTTTGCAGCACGCGAGTCGCGCTCTCTTTCTCTCCCTCTCATATTTTTTGGCCCAGGCAGCAGAATGATTTATCGCGCACAGCGGGATTCAGTCTGCGACAGAATGATTCCGCTCGTTTCCTCGTCGCTGTCGCGAAACTCGTCCGATGCGCGTGGAATTTAATCGCTTGGTATTCTAACGACCCATTTTCTTCTCTCGCAAGACAACTCGGCTCGAAGAGGAAATTATTCAATTTACAACAGTTTACAATCTGAAAATCATCCGCATCGGGACAAACCTTCCTTTCCGTTCGATGTCTGGCGCTTTCTATGAAAAAAAAGAAAAAGTTGGCGAACTCGACCGTCCGTATTGGAGCCATGCGCGCGGTTCATCAATGCGCGGCTATTTTCCGAGGCTTTTTATGTTCCACGATTTTCATGGACTCGGTCGCGAGGATAATGACGATGATTGCCGGTACCCACGATATAAAGTACTTTTACCCTGTGCCGCTCTTCGACGAAAGATGTCTATAAATAATTGATTGACTTGGGGAACTGATGCGATTGCGTTTTCGAGGAATAACGTCGCGCGGAATTTAGGAACGCGACGTCGTGTGTCGGCCGATGATGTCGGAGCTTTCGAGACCGGAGGAAAAATCGCGTCGAAAGTGATCTCCCTCTCTCTCGCTCTCTCTTTTTCTCTCGTGATAGCGGCACTTACCGCGATCGAACTTTACTTTTTTCCCCTTCGTAGAAAATAGTTGCAGACGAACGCACGGCGCCGTGGCTATACTATACGCGACGCGACGCGATTATAAGCGTTCTCGATCGCTTTCGTCCATGAATTATGGCTGGATTGTCGTCGACGCGGTTCTTTTCCCGATCGCGCGTTATGACGGGGCTATAGTTAAGCTACGGGCTTTTTTTCCCACTTTTAATCACATCAACTGTATTTAATTCAACTATCCTTACCAACGACCACCCTCGCCCGCGAACTACATTCGAACGCGGATCAACCTTGAATAAATTTTACAGTTTTAAATAAAAGGTAAAGGATAAAGTCACCTTGTTAAAGTAACACAAAAATTTAGGTAGACCGTTTGTGACAAAACTTTCTGCCAAATTTTTAACGAAACTTTTTACTGTTCAGCTATTACTATTGTCATGCCTAAAGACGCAGGTCTTTGCATTTACTGATCGCCATCTTGAGTCTGCGTTCGCGACCTGCGTCTTGCGTTCTGCGAGCTACGTAGACCGAACTTAAGACAAATAATAGATAACATAAACATAAACAATGATACATGCGGAAACGCAAACGAAGCCGAGAGCGAAGCTAATGCTGACATGTTAGAGCCGATGGCCGCCTGTAGACACAAACCTATGATTAATTAAGACATTCTCGTGAGCACGCACACTGAGAAAAAGTCCTTGAAAATTTATCTGTGGGGGATATAAAATTTATTTAATAGAAATAAGGTTTATTTCACAGAATACAGGGATATAAGGGATTTATTCCTGTGAAATACCCAAACTTGGTTCTTATAATCAGAAATTCTGTTTCCTTCGATCAAAATGCATCTGAATGTTTTCTTTCTGGTTAATACAACCAGACTTTTTTTCCATTTAGATACGATTAGAAAGACAAAGCGGCTGTTGCGATCCAGTCGAAACGGTCCGACTGTTCTTCGCGAATCCACTTTGCCCTGTGAATTCCGATCCACGTCGGAGCTTCGAGAAAGCGGGAGAGAGAGAGAGGAGGAGACGAGCCGGTCAAACGGTCGGCCACGCAAGCTTTGGAAAGGCGAATGGCGCTCGAGTGCTGGAAACAAAAGCCCGGCGTTTCAATTAGGCCCTTTATTAGTTAGCGATAATAGGGCCAACAGCCAAGTCGAGCCGACATCGGCCGGCTGACCGGCGCTTAACCGGAGCCTTCGCCGGCTCCTGTCGGGCTTGTTTGCGCGGATCCGGCTCTCACGATATTAAGGGCTGACTAGACAGTCTGTAGCTCCTTGATGTTTAGAATCGCCGGTATCCCGGCTCTCCGACGGTCCTCTCCCGCGCAACAGAGTCGGCAGGACTGCGGGAAAGGCAGCCGTCCTCTCGGCACCTCACCGGACCTTGTCGATTGATTTTCTTGGCGTAAATTCGCGCGGATGAGCGGAGAGAAGTCGAGAGAAACGCAATTCCGCTCGCCGGGCGGAAGGACCGGAGGAGAAGAGAGCGCGCGCGGGAGCTAGGAGGGAAGCGTCGGCGAAGAGCGGCCGAGGCCAGAAGGAGGAATTTGTCGCTGAGGAGAGCAGGTCGCAGCAGTCGCCTGCGGCGAGCCGCAACGATCCTCTCGTCCCACCCGTCGCACGCTACCGCACGATACCGGAGACAACGAGAGCAAGAGAGAGGGAGAGAGAGAGAGAGAGAGAGAAAGAGAGTAAGCGGGAGGATAGAGAAAGGATGGAGAGAGAGAGAGAGGCCGTCGCTGCTACTGCTATTGCTACGGGACCGTTCGAAACTAACTTAGGGCCGCCGAAACTACACTCGCTCGCCGCGCCGCAAAACGAACGGCACGGCTAACAAGGCGGGCGCACGAAATACATTGGATATTGATTCGCGAGGGAGAAAACGACAGGGCGAAGCGCCGTTGAATATTTTTCAGGCTTTCAGCGCGGCGCGATAAGTGGCGAGAGGAGGGGGAGACCCGCGGTCTTAGAATTGCCGACGTCGTTTCGCTGTGACTTGCGGTGTCCAGAAGTTGTTCCCGATTTCCAGCCGCGCTGATAGAAAATTGCAATCAGTTTCGACGCCAAACATGTTTTATAGTAGCGGCAACATGCATATAAAGTTATTGTCATTGAGACTGTAGTAATATCCCGGATAGAAACTGAGAACCGTCGCTAGAAAGGCTCTATACAATTTCTTCCGACTTCTGTCTAGGTCCTACACAGAAATGTAACGCTCGTACTATTTAGAACCGGGTTTGTAAACCCGGTTAGAAATTAATCGAGGCGTGCCTTAAGTCTGTAGTGGTTTTAGATAGGCATGTCCCGAGATAAACCTGCCTTCGTTGAATCGAGATATGGCTTAGAAAGGCAAATCTTGAATGGAATTTCGTGAATTGGCCCTGACTGGGCCTTATGAAGTGCAGACCTTGTTAGGGGCATTCACATCAGTGCGTATTCTGAGCATATTTACAAAGAAAAATGATTCTCCCGATTATTTTTATGATTAAAAGGTATGCTTGGTGCTGAAACTATAATTTTCTATCGTCGTAGCGTCTTGCGGTATGTCGGTTGTGCCATGCAGATCCTCCGGGATACAGCACTGTGGATTTGTCAAAGTACCGTACGGCTGGGTCGAGAGATCGCGGTACTCGTTCGCGGAATAATTCGCGATCGATCTCATCCCCGGCGACGATCCGTCAACGCCGAATACGCGCTGACGATAACCGCCGTCGTAGCGTTGCCGTCGCGCTACCTGCGCGAGACCGTCCACGTGGCTCGGCAAATTGCATTTATGTCACGTCGTCTCGATCCATATAGTCCACAAAATCGGTTTTAGTGTAAACGAGGAAAGCCAGGCTAAGGGTCTCGGGGCGGCGGCTCTCCGGCTGGGTGGGAAGGTGCGCGACGGCAGGGGAATGGCTGCGACATCTTGTATTGTCAGATCCCAACGCGACAAATTCATAATTGCGTTAATGCGGGTACGGCGAGGGTTCTTGCCGCAACCACCGCAAGGCGCGCCATGGCGTCTTGCGGCTATAAGAGAGGACGATATAGCATAGGAAGGATGGCGAGGGGGGTCTCGGGCGCCAGGAGACGGTGGAGAGCGGTCCCTTCTGGTACGGGCTCGTTAATCTTCGGAGGATTACGCCAGAAGGAAGTATCGCCATTGTGCAAGACGCTCCTCCTCGAGTCGATAATTATTAATTAAATTGGCCGTACCGGCCACTCTCCGCGATTTATCGACTTATCGGTGAGGACTCCGCGTACGGATACATCGCGACGCTTGTCTGGTACCGGTGACAAGTTTTTCTTGCCCACAGCTTTCGTGAAAGCGTAGCGATTTGTTAAACTCTCGCGGGGAATATTTCGCGTTTCGTTAGTCTCAGGCTCGCGCGGATTGTGAATCCACGACTGCCACGTCAATTCATTGTGATTTGGGTATAATTATATTTCAGAATTTATTCTTTCCCTTTTTCACGGGTTATCTCAATTATAATTAGCGCGTTGATTTTTATATATTTGTTTTGAATAGCTTGTTATTTATAGGCTAGGAGGACTAAAAGATCGGCTGTCTATTTTAGCCCCTTCACTAAAAATTCTCTGCCATAGCGAATGTAGCGTAACATTTTGGCGTTTTATTTTATTTTTGAAGAACGCGTGTCTTTACTATACTTTTTGCACTATGTGGGGAAGGAGTCTAACTAGCAGTCGTCACAATACGCGTTGTACTTAAATTCTGAAACTGTATACAGAAGAAAACATTAGATTCAAATAAATAATGACTCGAAGCAAATTTTTACTCCTTAGAAAATTTTTACTTGGATTAAATAACTAACTAATTAGTTAGATCAAGTAAATATATATATTTTATTTGGATAATTTATTTGGAAAATATTTTATTTGGATCAAGTAAATATTATTTCATCCAAATAAAAGTTTGGTAAAGAATATTGAAGAAATATTTAGTTGAATCTAGCACTTCTATGTGTACAAACTTCTTTTACTTTCATCGAGATTAATGAACCAAATTCTCTTTCCGTTACATCGAAATGGATGAAACGCTGTTTTCATCAGGCAGAATTCCGCTTGACTTCTTTATACTTATCGTGATTGAAACAACAATACTGCTATTCCAAACGTTTGGGAACAACGTTCGCTACTGAATAAAAGGCCGGCGCGATGAAAAAGCTCGGCTCGTAGGCGCTTTATTCAGTTGGCCATGGACAATTGAATCATCGTCAAATCGCGGGCGGCAGGGTCATCAAATCTGCACGAGCGGGCACGA